TATAGTAAAAGAATATCCTTTGAGGACTGTTGTACGCAAAATGTAATCGACTTAATCCATTGAAAATAAGTAAACAAATAAGTTCCTTAATCAAAAAAATAAGAGTAAACTTTGTTCTTTGTCTAGCAATCGATGGGAGTCAATGTGAGTCTTCCATCCACCAACAAAACATCACATAAACATCGCCTTGAATCTAATTACTGTTTAGACTACGCATGTTTGAATACTTAAGCAAATATTTCGACTGCTTTTGTCTGTTTATTATTAATAATAAAACTAACTTCTCTTGTTCATCTTCAATATTTTTATTTCTTCATCAGAATGGCAGCCACTGTCGAAGTCACATGCTTAAATCTACATGATATTTACGAATCTTTCTTTTATATTAAACTACATTTTTTTACCAGTATTGCAAATATCCTGATACTAATTATTTTTTTCTCATGTGAATGTGGGTCTGTCTGCGTCTGTTGGCGAAAATTTCCTTTTTATGCATTCATACTCATACATTCAAACTTGAGTTCATTTCTGATTTGTATTTTTGAATAGTGATCGAAACTCTTCATTTTCTCGTTTCTATTATATCGTGAAATTGTAACGTATTTCGATTTGATCGATGATCTTTTTTCCTTCTTCGAACAGGTTATTAAAAACAAGGTTTCTCTTGTTTTTTTCATACTTCTTTCATTTTTGCATTTTGGAATCTCATTTTATCCGACATCAACTCAATTGAAGTTTTTTCGTCGTGAAGGACGGGCAAAGCTAAAACATTTTGTACCATGGCATCAAAGCAACATAAGTCAATGATAACTCTTATTGACAGACATCGGATTCGGGTAGATATCGATTAAAATCTACCAAACTATTTAATAACAAATCTGTATTTTAATAGAGAAAAAGACTATCTTCGCACGCCAAAATAAGAAACAACTCGTCCGTACAAGTGCAACGGTTCAATCCATCAATGAGTCATCCAAAAATAAGTATTTCATCATCGAAAGATCAGAACCTGACAATAAGTCCGTCGATTAATGTTGAAAGACTCAGTCGCAGAATGAGTCAATTAGACATGACACTAGCATCATTAAGCAATTCATCATTCAAGGAAAAATTAGTACATGTACAAAAAGAAAGTCGAAAATCGAACAATCAAAATAATACAAGTCAGGTATCTGAATTTTTTGAAAACATCTGCATGCTTGACAAAGTAAAAGATTTCAATTGACTTACAATAAATGGTGATCTGAGTTAATAAGTAAAATGAAGACTATTTTAAAAACTCTCATCTCAATCTTCAGAGTGCTTAAAATTTATAACACAATAATGCTGCTTTTATCAAACACAGAATTCAAGTATGGACATATGTAGGGAGAACAGTTGCCTCTAGGGAGAAAGACGAATCACATTTCTCGCTATATATAAAATTCAAAAACAGTTACGTTTTATAAACAACGGATAGACTTCGATAAGACTACTATCTAGGCATTAATGAGTCACAAAGTTTTCTATTAATATCATGTCAAGAGCAGTCCCTAATTGTAGTTTTTTAAAATCCAGTTACATGTAGATACATTGGATATAGTACGTGGAGTTCCGCATGATACCGAGTAATACTGAGAATTGATGTTATTATATAGCATAGATTACAGACTAGAAATTATCTGAAATCGATATTTTTGAATATTACTCTGAGCTTTGTAAACAGAAGGGTAATTTACATCTTATTTTGTAAAATTTCAACAAACCAACTTTGATGTTAAATTTTGTACTGTTTCATAGGCCTTATAAGGACATTCATTAGAAAGATCCAAATGGACATGAATGAAGCTTAATTTCATCATCAGCTACTTCACTACCTAGTGATTTGTTAGACGATTTTTTTTTTAACGAAAAGAAAAAGAATTCAAATAAGTGCACTGCATTAGATTCTCATTGATGGCAACAAGCAATGGAAATTTGTTTTTTGTGCGATATGTAAGCATCTTTCTCATCCGTCAATAAGCAAATGGAACAACTGAATTCAGAATTAACAATTTTACAGAACAAAGCAACGCAAATATAGAAACTTCAAAAGGCGGCTGATTAATATGCAACTCAATTAAATACGAGAGGTTACTGGGATTGATTTATTTATGGAGGATTTATTCAGTGTGATGATATTTCAGCATATTCACAACGACACACCGAAGACTTCGAATAAACTCCCAATGAAAGAAGTCTCGGTAGCTGTCAGGGAACACCAAGATATTGAATAGTTTATATAAAGTAAACTTTCATTGAGGTTTTTTATGCAAAAACTCTATCTTCACCTATCTTCACTTAATCAAGATATTGATCAAGTCACCATTACAACGCTGAGAAAATCTAGTTTTTTTCTGCTGAACATATCGTTCAATCTAGGAGATTTTTTATAGTTCGCTTCGTTGCCAAATAGTTCTATATTTTGTAGCTAAAAATCGCCCAAATACATACATATATGCTCTGTTAGATGAGAAGCTCAATGATTGCTCTTATTTCATCGCGTTATTTTTCTTTGTCACTTATACTTATATGTGACTCATCGATCGATGATAGATGTGAATGTAGGTGACAATGTTTGTCGGTGTTTGTGTGGATGAAGGGAAGATCCACACCTACAGCCACACATACTGTCTATTCTTTCGAGAGGACATTTTTGAATTGTAAATGAAACCCACAACAGATGCTAAAATTGCTGATACTCTCTGTTGAACAATTTAATTGTGAATTCTAGTAGAGTATTTGAAAAACTAAAATCAGAATGTCGATGACTTCTTTCAATCCGTTATGACCTTTGTTTTCTGTTTTGATATATTTTGCTGTTTGATTCAAGGTATATCAGATATTACGACAAGATCTGTCATCATCGACTTCCATTAAAAATAAAGTTGCACCACTAAACGATGAAAACCATATACGAAGTAGTTCAAGTGACAACTTCGCGCAACGCAATTACTACTTTGACGATAGTGCTCGAAAAAAGAAAGATGATACAAAGAAGAAGAGAAAGATACATGAAAGGTATGCCATTTCTTTGACGTCTATATCTAAAATTGAATTAGTTGATTTATAATTGAGAAGACGTGAAAAATTCCATATGACGCGACGCTGTTGTTACATTCTGATGAGTGCTATTTTGGGGTCAATTTTGCTTGCGGCACTTGTGGCGACCATTGTAATAAGCGGTATGTACATAGACGAATAATGTGTGACCCAAAATGGTTGCAAGTGGAACTTTAAATCGAGGTTTCTTTAGTTCCTCATCCCTCCTCTCTAGGTTCTAGCCACGAGAAAAGGCGCGTAAATAATAACAGTGCTTAGATCATTTTAGAACTTTGTAGATTCTAAGTATTCTTGATCTAGCAGAGTCAAAATAGGACGGACGTATAAAGTATGAACAAAATAAAATTCATCTATCTCTCTGACATCAATCAACAATGCACAAGTTTTATTTCAACGCTTCAAAACATTAATAGAATCAAACAGTGATCTCGAAGTTTTGTAATCAAAAACAAAGGTACCAGATGATTTTATGGAAATTTTCCTACAGTTTCACATTATAAAAATTATTCAAATGTGTTTGTTGTTAGGTGAACCGATTATATAATGCGCCAAATCTCGTATTACATCTTGATTCAATGCTCTCTATTGAATATTTTGAAAAACTTCACATTTCTTTTTTAGAGCTAAATTGTAAGAGAATCCGAATACAGATTAATTCATTGTTTGGCAC